ATGTGAAGGACTCTACATCTTCCAGAGTTTCGCCATCAAGAGTGATTGGATTGCTGTTCTCCGCTTTGAACTTGAGGACCTTAGTTTTCCCTTTGTGTATGCTGAGGCCTACTGATGCAGAGACTGCTGCTACACTGGTTGTCTTCATCTGCATCTGTTCGTGTGTACGTGATAGGAGGGCTAGGTCTGAGAAGTCTGCGAAGTCCAAATCGTCTAATTGGTTCTGAGCTGTCCATTGTATTCCGTGTTTTCCTTCAGATGTTGAGGTCTTCATAATCCAGTCGACCACCAGAAGAAAGAGGAAGGGAGAGAGTAAACAGCCTTGTCTGCCTCCGGTCCTTACTAGGAATGGGTCTGTCAGCTGTCGTCCATGCACGACTTTGCACTGTAGTCCGTCGTATGAGTTCCGGATAATATTGACAATCTTCTCAGGAACTCCGTAGTGTCGAAGAAGTTTCCATAATGTCCTCCTATCTACACTGTCGAATGACTTTTCATAATCCATGAAGTTGATGTATAGTGATGAGTTCCACTCAACTGATTGTTCGACGATGATCCGTAGTGTCGTAATTTGGTCTGTTCATGACCGATCCTTACGGAATCTAGCTTGTTGATCTCGAAGTTGGGCGTCTACTGCATTTTCATCTGGGTCAGCAACACTCTGTTAATGACTTTCCCTGATACTGACAGTAGTGTAATGCCTCTGTAGATTCACATTTGTTCAGGTCTCCTTTCTTCGGAATCTTGATGAGGTGTTCTTCTCTCCAGTCCATCGGCACTTGTTCCTCCTCCCAAATCTTTTTGAATAGAAGATAAAGCATGCTTGTGGTTGCTTCAATGTCTGGTTTCAGTGCTTCAACTGGTATGTTGTCGGGTCCTGCTGCTTTCCCGTTCTTGATTTGTCTGACGGCCATTCTAATTTCTTCCGTAGTTGGTGGATTGACATCTATGGGAAGATCTGTGTGTGCTGCTTCGATGTCCGGTGGATTCATTGGAGCCGGCCTATTCAGGAGTTTCTCGAAGTATTCTACCCATCTGTTCCGCTGTTGTTGAATTTCAGTGATTGGCTTGCCTTCTTTGTCTTTGACCGGTCTCTCTGGTTTACTATATTTCCCTGCTAGTTTCTTTGTTGTATCATGAAGCTGTTTCATATTTCCTTCCCTTGCAGCTTTTTCCGTCGTCGTTGCTAGTTCTTCCACGTATTTCTTTCTCCTTGTCAGCTTTAATGCTCTTCTTCACTTGCTTGTTTGATTCTATGTATTCAGCTTGTGCTTGGATTTTCTCTGCTCGTGTTTGGCTGTTGTTAATTGCTGTCTTCCTGTTCTTCCTTTCTTTGATCTTGTCCAGTGTTTCTATAGAGATTCATTCCCTATGATGGTGCTTCTTTAGACCCAGGACCTCTTGACATGTTGAAGTCAATGCTTCTTTGATACCTTTCCAGTTGTCCTCCATAGTAGTTTTTTCTTCCTTCAGTAGATCTTGTAAGGCTTGAAACCTGCTGTTGAGAGCCATCTTGAATTCATTGAGTTTGTCAGTATCTCGAAGGAAGGCTGTATTGAACCTTTGTAGTGCTGTTTATTCAGCTGTCAGGTTCTTCTTCAGCTTCATTTTAAAATTGGCCACAACTAGGTGGTGATCTGAAGCTATGGCAGCTCTTCTCCTGGTTCTCACATTTTCCATTGTCCTCCGGAATTTTTTATTGATGCAAATATGATCTATTTGGTTCTCTGTAGTGTGGTCCGGTGAGATCCATGTAGCCTTGTGTATACGCTTGTGTGGAAATATTGTGCCTCCTATGACCAATTTGTTGAATGCACACAGATTTGCAAATCTTTCTCCATTTTCGTTTCTTTCTCCCAGTCCATGTCGTCCCATAATATCTTCATATCCAGTGTTGTCTATTCCGACTTTGGCATTTAGATCTCCCATCAGAATAGTTAGGTCCTTTCTTGGGCACTTCTCTATGACTGATTGCAGCCGCTCGTAGAATTGATCTTTAATTTCGCCGTTGCTATCATTGATGGGTGCATAACATTGGATAATATTCATTGTGATCTCCTTCTTATATATATATATATATATATATATATATATATATATATATATATATATATATATATATAACCTGCTTTAGCATTCTTGATAAAACTTATTAATGAATACTATTCTGGTCTAGGATCTCCTATCGATTATTTTCAACTGACTTAAATACAGTCCAGGTTTCCCTGAAAAGCCGATGTGTTGGAAAAGTGAACTGAAAATGAATAGGCATTATAAAATGTCGAATGAAATAAACACTTGAAGTGATTGATTATGTTTAAATCCTTTAACTATAGAAACTGTAAATATATCTAGTATCACGCATACAATAATTACAGTAAACTGTCTAACAGACAAAGAAATTTCGAAATACTACTTGTACATACATCTAAGACGTTTTTATGAGCATATATTATTGATAATTTTAAATAGTAGAATAAAACTAGTGTCCAGTAATCTGTTTTCTTTTGTCTTTCTAACATAATTGATTTATTCATTCTATCAATTTACTAATGAATTATTTCTTTGAAAAATTTCAGAAAATTTGAGTAGAAAAGTATCATATCTAAACTTTAAGCTGAATAAAACTGTGAAGATATATGTATTCAATAATAAGAACGCAATAAACATTAGTCAATTGTCAGTTTCTATGTAATTTGCAGTAATATATTCTTTGTGTTGTGTATTTCCTATTCGATAATCAACTATATAAACTAATTAGCAGAGCGTCATTCAAACAGAATTCGAATCTACACTAAGTTTACAAAACTGTGGTAGAATTAGCAATATCTGTCATCATGTCCGCAAACTGGAATTTGAAAGTTTCTATAGAGAATAAAAAAGCAAGGTTTAAAAGACATTAATTTTATGGAAAAACAATAATAAAAATTTGTTAACGCATTATAGATTTCAAGTATTCATATTCATTTCATCATAAGATTCTGGAAATTAGATGCAGATATGATTATAAATGTCAGATCATATCTGAACTTCATTACAAAATAAACAGTGTATTTAGATGTCACTGTATTCAAAAACATAGTTTATTTATTTCTTTGAATAAAACACTCACTGTTCACTGAATAAATCAGTATTTTTTCAATAGTACCAAACAGTAGTTTAAGCATGAATGGATGAATTCAGAGGATGAATTAACCTCTGAATATAAAACAAAGACTCAGAAAGTGCAGGTTTAATCTGAACGTGTCTGCAGAGATAACTGTCCAATGTTATCTCTCAATTCATTTTTGACGAAGATACTTTTAATCCACCTAGCCTCAAGTAGCGTAGAATCAAGAGCTGATTACAAACTTATATTTCACACAACCTGTAAGATGATGGCGAACTACCAAGCGTACTTGGCGGAAAATGAATCGAAAAAGACAGGAAACGTGTGTATATTTACAATCAGCATACAGATAAACATGGTATTTATTGTTCAAGTATATACAAAGTGAGTAAATATGGCACAGACAAATTGAAATAGTTTACATAGGTTAACAACAATAGTTAATCAAATAATATCGAAAAGTTTACAACTTTTTTACTGTTTGCGCACTATTGACGTATTCTATACTCATCAAGAAATACCTTGACAGAATATTAAATTAGCTAAAGTAGGTACGTTAAACAATCCAGGAAATAGGTTTGTTTCATACTTTACAGAATCACGAACTAAAATTCCGTGCTATTTATTGTTTATTCCTAATGTTGGATCTTTAGAATCAGTACAAATTAACTGAGTTCATTTTTCTAGTTTGTTTCAGAATTTTACGAAAAATCCGTCACTACTGAAAGAAATCTTTTAGGTTACAAGTTATCCTATTCACATTTGACAGAATTAGTTGGCCTAAAGTTCTATTTTAATCTATGTTTCATTGGCCCAAGTTGGATTTGACAAAATTGAAAAGCTACAGTGTAGTTTATTGTTTCTTGAGTATGAACAGAATAAATAGTTATTTGATGCTATTCATTATACTATCTATTTCGTCTTGGTTTTTATAAAAAAATTATGAATATTTCAAAATGGATCATGCAGAAAATCCAGTGTTTATTTTTGAGGATTTCGAGAAGCAGCATAATAAAAACAGGTCTACTCTCCGTGTAACCGATAATCGATCACTTCACTAACTTCCTTTTAATCATATTGAAGAACTGATATATATTACTGTTTAGGAAATCTATGAAACTGTTAACAACTTATCTCTAATACAAAACTGAGTAAAAAGGTTATTAAAATGGAAACTATTTTTAAATATCTATCAGATATCGATCTGTCCAGTTAAGAAGGTCGTACTATGGCTCAAAACCCAACAGGATTTTAGAGATGAAATCTATGTTATGAGAAGTATCTGTGGTAAATGTAGAAAAAAACTCGATTCGCATTTCATTGTAGATTATTAGACAAAACTTAGGATTTACTTAACACATTCTTATTGAAAGCACCAGAATAATTGTCCTTTGAATGTACCTATATCCCCAAGTTGTTGTTAACACTGAAAGTTAAATCCAGTTCTCATCTCCTTGGATGCCAACACATCATTTACTAAGCTTCTAGGTCTAGATAGTTAGCAGCTTTTTCAACAGGTATAACATTTATCACCTATGAAGATTTCCGTTTTTTGTTCTATTTGCAATCTGGGCATCAAAAGCGAGATTCAGTTACATCGAGATGACGAGTCTAAATAGGAAAAAACTTATTTCCTGTATTCCACTGTTATGCACAATCTAATATTATCACAAAAACTTATAACTACATGCAATAACGAGATATCCGCTAATGTCTCATCAAAATTCACTTTTGATTAACAACATCGTAAAATCACAAATCTTTGGGAAATAATCATCAATAGTATTTCATTATTTAGTTTTGACAATATATTGTTGTATTGTAGTGAACAAGAACGCGAGTGGTGACAACTAAATGAACTTTAGTACAAAATTACAGAATGTCTTAGTAAAATCTGAGAACCATATAGTAAATATTCATTTGCAAAATGTTCATTGTTTCAGACTTCATTGTTCCTGCATTTCCAAACCACTTGATTTCCGTTTCCGTCCTTTCTTCCTCGATCTTCTGATGCCAGATATTCTATTCCTGACTAATGTTGTATACTATTTATGTCGACATAAGTAGCACACACCACAGTATATTTGCTCTATGTTCAAACAATAGTATGATAATACTTCGAGAGAAAAGAACATTAATGCTTTTGTTTTATTCATTTTGAATATGTTTACAACGTTCATTGTTTATTTAAATTTAAGAAGTATCGTTAATGACCAATAGAAATTAAGTAAACAATATCACTTAACAAAACTGGTATCAGTCGATAACAAATAATGATAATAAGAACAATGAAAAAAATTTAATGAACAAATGATCTTTGTTATAAAGAATAAAAATATTGTCATAAATGAGTTAATAGTGTTGAAGCATAAAAATAAATATACGAATAATCCACCTTCTTTTCGTGATGTTAATCTGGTAGTCATTGACAACGGCTTTGAGTCAATAAAACTGAAACAGAATGCGTAAAACGTACTATTGAATATGTTCAAATGTATGGCAATGGTACAAACAAAGACAGTGTGTTTACAGACAGGTTTTAACAGTTGAAAACTAAATATCATTGATAATCGCGAGACTATAATTTATGGACAAGCCAATCAAATTAAACATAACAGGTCTTTGATTTCGGGGTGAAATTCATTCGTCCATATAGTTAAATAGCATTTGTGGTATTAAACACGGTGTCAGTTCGAGATGAAAACCCTAACTCTAATTTTCAACCCCAACGTCTAACTCTAAATTCTAATTCCTTACAATAATCTAGAACCATCTTTTGTCCCTAGTGAATAGATGAATTTTCACGAAGTCACTTTAGCATCGGTCAAAGTCCCTTCGTAAGTTATGGTCTCATCGTTAATGACTAGTCTTATTTAAAATTACCATTAATTCATGAATATTAAAACATTATTTTGTACGATCGTGTCACTTGGACACTGATTCGATGTGAGGATAGCTTTCGTTAACTGACTGATCTGTTATCAAGTACTAAATTGAGTAACTCATATCTTCCCAAAACTGCCAGCAAAATTTAAGTTTAAAGGGATTTTCTTATAATCAAGTGTCTTAGCAAGAATTTTCAATAAGAAGTAAGGATTTATGAAAAATCACCCCTTGAATTCTAATGTGTTGCACAACTATTAGTTGTAATAATTGGTTGCACTTTATTAAATTAATAGGGCAGATCTCATTCTAGTTCTGGATAGAATTTTATGTTATTTTGAAAATATGTTGTAGTCATATGAATTAATACTTGTATACAGTTATTTTCAATAAATATGTATTCAATTTTGTTGTGCCATATCATAACATCATTAGGGTAGCACTGTAGTATACCAAGAAAACTAAGATAACCGATATTAAATATCAGCGCTAATCTAAAATGCTATTGAGGGTAGTTTGTTGATTGAAATCATGTTTTGGTTTTATTTCATATTTTGAAATGACTAGACGATGCTTTTCTTGTGGAATAAATTGCTAAGGTCAGCATTTTAGGGTTAGGAGTGTTTGGATTCAGGAGTATCAAGGTTAAGGAGTTGCGTTAATGCCAGTTTACTGTGATGTGAACTGTTGTCTGATTTAGCTCTAATACCGTGACTAGTAAACTCTTAGTTCTACCACTTTTCTATTATAACACTCACAAAAGCTATATTCTGATTAAATATTATCTGGTTGGCTACACCCAAATTCCGTGAATGTCATTCGTACAGTATAATTTTAACATCGTTGGTTTTCGACCACGTTGAAAGTCAAACTTACCTCTGAGTATGAATAAGCATCAAACCGTAGTAATGACTGAGTGGAGTTAAAAATAATAGCCCGAAAGTGTTATGATTAAAGTGATAAATGTAAATAGTATGCTTCATTTCATGCAAGATAAGAAAGATATCATAGTAGGATGAAACAGCTATAAAGCACCCAATTGTTTTAAACACTATGATGAAAACCACGTTCGAGATAAATAATCGAGTTACCACTTTATTAATTCGTGATTTCATGTACTGTGATCAAATTAATTAAGATGATGTTTTAACACCCTCCTAGTCTACAGTAAAGATCATTTTGAGTTTTATTCACCAGACAAACATAGATGAACTTTTGAGATACATAAAATAAGATGTTATTTTGAATTTACCACTTTCAAGTAATATTTCACTATTAAATACAATACTGTTTGTCAAACATAAGTAATGTTGCTTTCAAATACGATGCTAGAGAGTGAATTATACAAACAGCAAAATTAAACTTCAGCATTATTTTAAATTTGGCACTTAGAAATATACATCAGTATAGGTTTATGCAGATTGTTGAGTTCATCGGTTCATGAACTCAATAAAAACTTTGAAATACCGATTGGAACTAATAAAATTAACAGTATAGTTATTATATAAAATTACTGATAAATACAATTTGTATCGCTTTGTTGTACCACTGCCCAAGAATTGTTAAGTAGTACGGAGTTATAGACATTTATGTGTTTATGGTAATTCATCGTAGAACTAAGCATGTATATGTAATGGTTCAAGTAATCAAACCTCTCTCCCACATTACAATGAAATTATCCAGACAAATGCCAGAGTAGTAGAAGTAGAAACAATGTCAATGGTAGAAGAAAAGTTAAACACAGACGATATATTTCGAGGAGAACAATTAAATTCGTCAAGTAAAACGTATGAAATAATTCCAAAACTGGGAATCTAAGGAAAGATAGAAAATGGTCTGGGATTTATAGCCAATATATACTGAATTTTATTTTAAAAAAAAACTATCGAAAGGAAGTGAGGATGAGACCACAATTTATGGACGACTTTTGAGCGACGCTAAAGTGACCTTGAGAATGTCCAATTAATTACTGGGTCTAAATTAAGATTATAAAACTGTGAAAAATAAGGATTATAATTTACAGTTGATAGTAAGGGTTAAAATTTAGATCTACGGTTTTCAACACGAATTTATATCAGCTAAAATGCCAAAACGCTATTTAGACAAATAAGTGAATGAATTTCGCGCCAAAATCCAAGACCTGTTATCCTAAATCTGATTGGTTCGTCCATAAATTATAGTCTCGCCTAAAATCCTTATTGACTGGTACGGTTAAATCTATTTTGAAATCCCTAATGATTGTCGACAGACATGAGTATCAATCTTATGGTAATTTTCTGATATTTTTAGAGTTTACTCCTTTTATAATTCCAGTGTATTTTTTGGTAACAAACGTTTTTATTAACTTTACAAATTCTCTATTAAATGTCAGAAATAACCAGAACAAATTAGATACTCACACAGGAAACTTCAGTGAATAGGCAACACAAAATTCTGAAACAACGACTACCTCACTTTTACCATCCTAAATCTCTTATCAATATAGTGATTTCAAATCAACGTGCACCATTTATGTACCAAAACATGTTGTAAGAGATTCTTACCTTGAAATTACCTCCCTTAATTTCAGCAAATAAATCCTAAGAATATAAGATTTAAACTGTGAATTTATCAAAATGAACGAAAGTTGTAATGCCGATGTAACCTGATAACTAGTTGTGACTTTGGTAGGCTAAGAGTGGTATATTGACTACAACATATAATCATTAATATGCTACGGTTTATTTCTTCTCTTATATGAGTTAACAGTCTCGTGTTTCCTCCATAACTCCATTTATTTGATTTCCGCATTTCATCCAATCTTATCGAATAACACCCGTGATATTCGGTAAAATTGGATAGTGGCTAGCAGTGAAATCTAGGAAAAGTGTTTCTTCTTACTTATGACTTATCAGCTACATGTACGTGTATTCTAGTGTCGATGTTCAAAGCAAGACTCAAACCCAATATTCGCTTAAGATGCCCGAAACATTATCTACTAAGCTACTGAGTCACGATGGCAACGGGCTTGTGAGATGTGCACAAATTTTGTTTTAACGGTTTATATCTTCCAGTTGTTTATGTTAACGACAACAAGTTATCAGTCTATTTGAGCATTAGAACCGGGTACATCCAGCTGACGAGTACTAAACAGGACTAAATGTGCCTCCCTAATTTCGCTATTAGCTACTATTCAACTTTACCAGCACTAACGTGGGAATCTGCTCGGGATTCACATATACCAAAAGTGGCTAATCAGGTACAGTTATTAACGGCAACGACAGAAAAGTATATACCTAGGGGGCATTATATGTCTAGTCTTGGTACAACTATTAATTTTGCTATCGCTTTCATTCATATGCTATTTATTTTGTCAATTTCGTTTTGCTGCGCTGAAATTGTTTGGTGATTTAGTCGAGTACACCTCCAGTTAGGTTGCAAGATGATTATGAATGACTAATGGAATGTTTTTTTATATTTGCTGAAAATGGACTTGAAATTTGAACAGAAGTCGGGACCAAGATTTGAGAATGATTTGTTTTAAACAGCTTATTTAAACGACATGGTCGATGGACAGGGAAGAAATAGTAAGAAAAAAATATGGTGAATGAGTCATCACCAGTTTAATATGTACGTCGTGTTTGAGAGAACAAGCAAAGTATAAATCTAGGCGGGTAAATATAATCAATGACATGTATACATATTGATTTAAAAGCAATCGATATGAAAGCTAATTATGTGGAGATATACACTAATTACATCCAAACTTTAGAACAACACTACCTGTCTATCATTAATTGGTTCAAAAAGGTTTAACTAATTTCGATATGTAAAAACCGGCGTGCTGGTAAGGTTAATTATTCACCTTGATATGTCTTAATTTCGTCACTACCATCTTGAAAGTGTCGCGTTTATTCAACGTCCATGGGGAACTCTTACATTTGATAATGAAAACAGAGATTTTTCGGAAGTCATGAGGCCGATGCTCATTTTAACAACCACTGCAACAATTAATATAGATATATGGAATGTCCGGATAATAAAGGAGACTGGAACGACCAGTCAATTATCTACGGAAATGAGGAGACACAACTTGACGGTTCTCGGAATAAGTGAAACATATTGGACCCAAGCTGGACAAAACTGCTAGATTCTGGAGAGATGCTATTGTACTCTGGTCACGAAGAACAAAAAGATACACACACTCAGGCAGTTGCTCTGATGCTGTCCAAAGTAACACAGACAATACTTATCATCATGAGGAATGGATCTCCATCGAAACTCTAGGCAAAACTCAAGAAAGCGAGAACAAGAAAACAGTAATTAACAACAACCGAACAAGAATAGAGAGTCGAAGCACAAGCTGAATCAAACGAGCAAGTGAAGAGAAGCATTAAAGCTGACAGGCAGAAATGCATGAAAGACCTATCATCGACAGTGGAAAAAGCTTCAACAGAAGGAAATATTGAACAACTTGTAAGATACAACGAAGTAACTGGCACGGAACTATGGTAAACTAGAGAGGGTGGTCAAGGACAAAGAAGGAAAGCCAATTACTGAAATTCGAGGACAGAGGAACCGATGGGTAGAAAATTTTGTGGAGCCATTGAACAGACCAGCCCCATTGAGTCCATTGGACGTCGAAGTAGCAACTGCAGACCTTCCTATAGATGTCACTCCACCAACGACCGGAGGAATCAGGATGGCCATCAGACAAATCAAGTGTGGGCAGCAGGAGGACCTGACAATATACCAGACGAAGCGCTGAAGCAACTCAAAACATACTTCATGTTCTATTCAAGATTTCGGAGGAAGACCAAGTGCCACAGAGACTGGAAAGAAGGATATCTCATCAAGATATCAGAGAAAATAGATATGTGCAAATGTGAGAATTACACAGGCATCACTTTACTGTCAGTACTAAGAGACGTTTCTGACATTGTTACTGAATCGGATGAAAGATTCCCTAGACGTCCAGATTCGAAATAAATAGGCCGGATCCCAAGTAAAGATCGAAGTCAGACAAATCTGCTTACTCTCTCTTCTGGTAGTTGACTGGATTATGAAGACCTCAAATTCTAACAGAAAACATGGGATACAGTGGACAACTAGGAATCAATTAGATTTGGACTTCGTAAATGACCTGGCCCCTCTATACCATACACATGAACAAGTGCAGATGAAGACAAACAGTGTAGCAGCAGCCTCTTTATCAGTAGGCTTCAACTTATACGAGAAAGATCCTCAAATACAACAGAGAGTATCAATCCAAACAGACATCATGGATAAGCCCTGGAAATGTGGAATCTTCCACGTACCTGGATATCATCACTGATGAACAAGGAGGATCTGATGCAGATTTGACGGCAACTAATGGCAAATCAAGAACAGAATTCCTGCAGTTGAAGAATATATGGAACTCAAAACAACTATCAACCAATATCAAAGTCAGAATCTTCCATACGAACGTCAAGACAGTCCTACTGTACGGAGCTGAAACTCGGAGAATTACCACAACCATGATCAAGAAAATACAAGTACTTCTAAACATCCATCAAAATAATTATTTCTAAACAATTGTCTACACAAGACACTCAATGTCCGTTGACCGTATACCATCAGCAACAGACTACTGTAGGAGAACAAACCAGCTTCCAGCTGAAAAGATGGTGAAAGTGAATAGAATATGCATTGAGGAAATGAGCAAACAGAATCATGAGGTAAGCGCTAACTTTGAATCGTGATGGGCGACGTAAAAGAGGAAGGCCAAGGAACACAGCGTCGAGAATTGGAAGAAAATACCAAAAGAATGAATAGCAGTCGGAAACATCTGGGAAGTACTGCTCAGGACAGAGTTGGATGGAGAAAGCTGGTGGGCGGCCTATGCTCTTTCACAGGGGGGGTGGTGGCAGTCGTGAGTAATCTATGCTTTTGATAGTGGTAAAGTAATTTCATGATTAGCTTGCTGGACTCGGTACATAGCAACAGGGTTTTTTACTGTATAGTGCCAAGAACTCAATTATTTTTCCACAGCCAAATCAAGGTACATTAATTTGACACTCATTTTTAATAGTCTAAATACTTTCTATCCCTTGTTGAATTTCGTGATATTTAGGATAGGCAACAAATCATCTCTAATTTGTGAATTATATTAGGACAGCCCCATAAGGTAATATTCAATGAAGTGTAGGATATAAAGCAAAAGATAACACTAAACCTGATTTCGATTGAACAGCCATGGCAAAACTCCCCGAGATATTTATCTTCGTACCGAACACGATGTTAAACATATTTTTTGAATTGTTTATACTACTTATGAGTAGTCATATCCTATAACCAACCGTCAATTGTTACCAAACTAAGTACTTTTCCTAACTGGCAACTTTCTAAATAGTGAGACGAAACTAAGACTTTACGTCTCCGTATTTTGCTAAACCGTCAGGGAACCTGTTCAAAGTCACTTACATCCCGATTAATTGAGCTACAAACGAAACTGGAAGAACCATTCCTAAGATTCATGTTCAGCTAAGTGGATATTAGATTAGGAAGCGGAATGGTAATACTTACTATGTACTGGAATAATTACTCTACTGGTGTGTTCGGACAACTTTTGGAAGAGACTGGTGGCTTTTACAGTCGATTCGTTAACTGTGTAATTTGACAGCCAACAATAAATGGACTGAATTTATGGCAATACGACAGTCATATGCTAGAAGAACGTTTGAAAGTCTTTACGAGAGAACATTTCCTAGATAAATTGAATGGCTACTTATTTCAATTGATATAGTATACTCAGGGAAAAAACTTAACACTAATAAGTTGATGAGTCAAGTAAACAAAATAGAACAACTAAACATGCTTACGACGACCAACAAATCTCAATATCTGTTCTAGCTCAAAATGTAAAGATGAAGCATAATAACAAAACATAAGAAATATTTTCATTAGCCCAAATTGTCTTGAAATAGAGATTTTATGGACGAGTGAACAGTCAGTCAAGAAAATATCCAACTTGAGTACCACAATAAACTAGAAAAGTCTATGTAACTTACGGCTACTTGAAAAGTCATTAACATCATATTACCCAGATTGTTCGATGAATGGAACCTGAGATGCCAATGATACATTCAAGTAATTCTACTAGTAGTAACAGTTCTCGCTACATTAATAAGTATAGATAGATACCATGAAACAAGCGACTCAGGCTCAGAAACAGTTCAGACAAAAAGTTCCTATAGAATAATACCTATTCAGTCACTTATAGCTAGTAACCAATATCCGGATAACAGCAATTACTGGTTAACAAACAATCTCGAACATACGTTTTGCTGTGATTTCATCAAGAAATCTGAATAACTGTACGCCAACAACAAAAAGCTTAAACCAAGCGTAAGAATTAGTTTCTAAACAGGTCTTTTTGAACAACGTTAAGACTATAACCAATCGTTAAACAGTGGTGGACCCTGAATGAACGTTGTGGACATGAAAAGACACTCGTCCCTTTATTAATCATACCATACATCTCCAATCGATAAGGTTATGTCAGTGAGTTGCAAGGTCGTCTAGTCTTTTTCCGACAACAGAGTCACATGTACAAAACTTATACATTACTATTCTCTAGAACAAGAAAACCATACTTGATCGACTGGAAATACTTCACAGAAATCAACTGTTCATCAATGGAGGATCCGAGTTTTGTGAATGTACTCTCTCAAGTTTTCTAACACATTATTGACTATAGCAAACAGATATCTAAGATTCATTCGGTTTGATAACGTCATTGTGACGTGCGATATAAAAGTTAGTGCTAATACGCAATCCTCCTACACACGAGTTCAACCGGCTACTCAAGTGAAAAGACTGAACGAGAAAGGAAGTTCATTGGAATCGATATTTATGTATACTCATTTATATATGTATCAGTCTCTTGAAAAACTAAGTTATAAGACGTACCCCATCTTTTCAAGTTGAAAACAAGATCTTGAATAACTAAGCGCACCTATCATTTGGCCAATCTTTAATTAGCTTAATTCATTAAACATCAACCAATGTAGAGGGTCTGACTGACTATCACATTAGAGATCTAGTAAAGTAATAACTCCAGGGATGACTGAAGAATTGATAGTAGATTCATGACAAATTAATGTATGCTTTTTCAGAAGTCAGATAGATTTTGGATTCAAGTGCTTCAGTAGCAAAAGTCTGAAAGCAGTTTAGATGAGTCTAAAAAGTTAAACGAATGTAATGCATAGTTAGGATTGAGGAGTATAACAAACAGCATGATAAGAAACTATCAAACATTTTCTTGGAGATTCATTTGTGTTGATTTTTGAAGAAGGGTTCAAACATATTTGAACTTTTGTGCGGGAGGTCAAGATGACTAGCTGATTGTCTTACAGGTACCCGATCACTTACATAACAAGAGGAAAAAATCGCCGTGATTACAACATTTCTTTTACATAGGAAACTTGTAGTAATTGGGAATCGTCAGGATTCAAATAATCTTTTCAGATAAATAAATACAGATATGACATACACAGTGATCACAATAAACAAGGGAAAAAGAATATTACAGGCCACCAACACGATCCCTAGGGATTAACCGTAAATCTGATCCATGTTTAAGAAACACTTCACCTGAAGGAAAAAAAGCGAAAACAAGTTCTTAGTAAAATTAAATAATACACTATTACTGAGACTAAATTAACGAGACCCCTATGTCTAACCAGCAAAAAGAATGTAGAAAGGTTATGCAAGTTAATTAATCCACTATTTTTAGGGTCATGTAGGTACTAGTTACTTTACGAAAACCCAGGAGAAATAATTAAGGTCCTATCCACACTTTCCAAATCATGTTATGTGTGGTATTATATATATGACGCGGATAACTTACTCTTCATGGACATAGATGCATTTAAAACTTGAAAACTTGATTGCATAATTTAGCATTTAGGACACGGTTTCACCTTGATGTGGTAGTGATAAATATACATGTACATGTAAAAAGTTATGAGACGCTTAATCCTTCAGAAACGGAACACAGATCTTGACTGTTTAATTAAATATCTTGTATCTAACATGTGTACACAATCCTAATGTGATTGGCAACACGTTCTGGAACCCAAAGAGGATACGTGGACACTGATGTGTGAAATCAAAATGCAGAAACTACGTAACTTTGAGTAAATGTATAAGTCTATTAAGAATCTGCTGGGTATTGGGATACAACAAGTAATACACAAAACCGCATTATAACAGTTCGACAATAAAATAAGATTCACCTGCTGTTTGTTGAGGATTTATACCGATCCCATCATCTGTGATAATAGCGCTTGTTGCTGCTGGTACGCTAAACTAGGAAGAGAAAAGAAAAGTGATGAAGCAAACCAATTAAGATAAGAATAAACTAGGTGATCTATTTCCAAATACTTTAAACATTGTTCACATACATAAAGAGTTAGTATTTAGTCAAATACATAGTCATACATTTTCATAAATTTATGAAGTCAGTAATTTGGTACCTAGGTTTGCTTCCGGAAACTATCACATAGGCAGCGCCAAACATTGCAATTTACTAAGACAAAAGTTTAGTGAACGGACTGACAACCTTAATTTGGATACATAGAAGGACAAGAATTCATGAGGTTTCTGAGCTAATGGTGCTTAACATTGACAATTAGGCTTAAGGACTGAATTCCGGCGACACTATGAGCAGTGGTGGGTAGACAAACCGTTATGATCAATGTATGGCGACAAAATTATCTGAAAACTGGTGGGGAAAGCTTATACCACGCCAGCCAGTTCTGTTTGATCGGTGGTTATTGGAAAAGTCGTTTAACAAGTTCACAAGAATCGTGGACCAAGTAACTGAAAGGATGTTACTGTTAACTTAGCCTAGAAACCAGGAACGAACATGCTCTGAAAAGTAGGGTAATATGACTGATACAGTGAACAATGTACGGTAAACTATTATCCTTGATGGATGGGTCTCTTTTAAGGCGATTCGCTCCCGCATGACAAGTGGGAATTAGAGCTTAACCTGGGACAAGAAAACACACATCAGTGAATTATGTGTAGAACTAAATGTACCCTACGATGGAGTGTTGCTACTGAGATCGATAGTCAACCTGGAAATAGACAGCGACGTTACGAATAATTGAAAATCGAAAACGCATTGACAAGGAGATTCCGCGCTCTATCACATGAAACACGTAGATCTCTGGTCGCCCAACATATAACACTTGTTTCCGAGATCTTTATTTCATGATAACCAAGGAAATGTCTTAAAGAATTCTGTAAGTTTGTTCGTAGTACATGGTGTCTCCTTATAATTTTGGACACAGTAGCGATACCTCTCCTTGACTGGATTTTCGCAGAAGCATACACTGAGAAGTTTATTTAAAGAATAGCATGGCGAAATTAGACAACACCGACGTCTTACTAACCCAATGACCCTATATTGGGGAAAATTTTGTCCGTTTTAGGGAAATTTGGGGGAAACGGCACAATACCCCAAAATTTACACAGATCTGGGGAGACTTCTTCAAACTTTGAGGAAAACTGGCAAATGTAATTGGACTACGGGGAAAACCCCTTAATTTCCTTAAAAACGGTAGATTGGTAAAGTAGCTGTCTTGGAGATTGATAAATGTAGAATCCTACAGTACTTCCCCACTATAAGGCCGCTTAAGGTATTTATTGTAACTGAAGATTCACATGAGACAAACAAGCTCACCAAAACTAACTCACTTCTTCAGCAGCAAACTTCAAGACGGCAGTAAATGGTGCGTTTTCAGGAACCTTTAGTCTACGTCACACAGTAAAATATTATAAACGGACTTACACCTTGAAAGGTAAATTAGGATCTGAAGTTAGAGTGATTTTGAACGATATCTTTGACCTAAAAATTCACAAATAACAAAATATAGGATGACGTACATGTAACGTCCTCAGTCAAACCTAGAGGGGTTAATAGTTAATGTTACGACGTTACCTCCACATACTTCAATTGAAAAACCCATCACTTTATACCGAGATAAGTACATTTGTTCAGATGTGGGTGTACCAAAGTACTTAAGCTAGATCTTTGTTATCTATTACCCGGAGCAGTGTTGTCCGCACCTGCATTGAGTCTTTCAAGAAAAGACTAAACATTTACAGAAGCATACTAGAAAAGGGAAACATATGCCGTAGGCCTTCTGTCCTTACTACACAAATCTGAATCTAACATCGTACGTTTTACTGTCTGTCATAAGTTGCAACTCAGGTTTCGGAGTTGGGTAGTAGGAACAGAAGGCCTATGGCCTATGTTGTTCTGTTATATTATGCTTCTGTGTGTGTCAAGTCTTTTCTTCAACGAATCAGTTAGAGCTGAAAACACCATTGCTTCGAGAAACGGGCTCACTGACTCGGTATTAAAACTTATATGACATGGGCATTTTGTTCGTTCTTGGATTTTCTACTCACCTGCTATGTCGTCCTGATCTAGGAGGTAGAAAAAGAGATATATCAGGTCGAAAATAATTTATCAGTATTCTATACACCAAAATCAGATCATCTGTTAATCTGTGGTAGGACAGAGTAAAGAGGTCTAGCTTTTAATGCCACTCTTTACATGGCAAACACTGGAGTCCCGGAATTGCACAGGTAGATGCCCTCTGCACGTTTTCCAGGATATCCGACTCAACTTTTAGGCAGGAGCCTGCAGCCTAAACACAGTATCCAAGCTTAGTTCCCATTAAAATCGTGCATACTGTAGTGATCCGAGGTCTTAAGATCACGACCCACAGTTACCCCAAAATCCTTATGATACCTGACTACAGGTACATGCACTTCCCTTTATGCTGTACCTATTTAACTATGTATCCCCAAAGTGCATGTAGATACACTTGGCCGTGTTGAAATGCATCAGTCATTTCCTAGACCAAGTAATCAGAATATATATACTAGCCTGAAGTGTTCATGCATCTATGTCTATTGTCGTTTCTCGCCGGATTTTTAAATCGTCAGCGTATAGTAACGTTGGGAACAAAACTCACCACATCAACATAATTTACTCATCAATAAAAGCAAAATGTGTCATAGATTTCATAAATTTTGACAACTATAAACTCCTAAAATCTCTTCTCAAATAACTCTCCCATCTATTGCTCTCCTAGATAGTTCAGATAACTGGACTACAAATCTTAGCTTACTGAAGATATTCATAAAATTTCCGAAGTAAACAATATAGTCACATAGGTCATTCAGAAGAGTTTAAAAATGCCAAAGATATCCAGATTTTGACAACGCCACTTTTCGTAGCACCTTCATCATCGAAGTGCACCAACCCAGTCAAGTCAGAAGCCAGGAATGAATGAGGTGGAAGATACATTTGTGAGATTGTCGATTTGTCGGCAAATGTTTGGTCTAAGCTGGGTAGCATTTGCATGTGATGTGTAACATGGCGTACCCATTCGTGATCCAATTCTGATGCATGAACGAGTGCCTCCAGTTACTGAATGTCCAGTGAAACTTAAAAAGTCGTTACTAGTCAAACTGGCCCAAGCCTGCCAGTTACATCAGTGAGAGTCAAAAATGTCGGAGTAAGGCTATTAATCTGTAGTGGCACTGGGCCCTAATCACACAATCCTGAACAGTAGACGCTTAGGAAAATAGATGTTCAACATTTAACGTGAGGAAAAACCCAACGAAGGGAGGCGGGAACAATGAACAGAATTATTTTTGGTTGATAGGATGGCATGACTCCGCATTGCGGGCACGGTCCTTGTTAAATGTCACCTTATATCTTTTGTTGATATTAAATGTAGTGTTCTTTCTCTATCCTAAACTTGTTCTCCATCATGTATTGGTGATTGTTGCGATGCAATGAGTTGGCGTAGACGATGACGTGACTCCCACGATTAGGCCTATTATTAGAGCAGTACTAATATCAATGGCAATCGCAGTTCTTTGACTGATATTAGTGAGCTGAACTTGACGACAATAGCTTTTGCACACGTTATAGACGTTACGCACCATCTCAAATTGTTTCCTGCCCTGAGATGACCCAAATTTATCTCCTATCATCTCATAAATCGGCGAAAACAACAACGACGGAATCACACCAGTCACATTTTTCCTACCTATAAGTACATGGCCATGGGTCTTAGGTATGTGGTATCACACGCGTCTTCTCTCCTCTTTATAATCAGCTTAGCGATTGCATGTTGGTACGCTGGGTAAATACTGTATTCTATTAAATTTTTGTCGGTTTGTTTTCTGTGTATCTTATAGTTTTTATGATTGGAGAAAATTTGTATCAATATCCTTCGCTTCTAACCAAGGGTGAATATCTGTGGACAAAATGTGACATTTGTTCAACAACGAATTAAAGATAAAATGTGGACTGAAACCATTCCACTTGTATCCATAAAATTCCCGGAATTCCTTATAGCAACAACTCCGATTCAGTCACGAATTACGGCGTGTACGTCATCCTAATCAACCAAACAACGTTTCGTTCCGAGTTGTTTTTCCATTAATTAATAATTTCGTTGCACTCACTGATGCTTCATTTGACTTAAATATTTTATACACATAGTTCCCTTTACTATCTTAATGAGAGCAGGAACGAAGATTAGTGATGGATAATATGAATTCGTTTTATTTCGTTAGGTTCACATCAACTGCTTACAACCCATTATATATTAAAACCAATGTTATTACAGATATTGACATACTTATAAATATGAGGGTGGTTAAAGTTAAATATGTGTATCATGATTTGGCAAAGATTTAGACAGGTTTAATACCATCATAAACAATTTTCTTTAAGATAAATAAGGTTTGGGAGGGAAAGTTTCAGAACATTGAAATAATGATTAGAACTCATGGGGTTAACGAACATCAGATGATTGCGTAATGAAGCAACCGTGAATGCTTTTAATTTATTTGACCTTAAACGTTTCAAAATGTGTTCTTAGAATTGTACGTTGACTCTCCTTTCTGTTTTACCAATCTGACTGCTTTGTCAGATGCATGTAAATTTGTATGTACAGTTTGTGATAACATGAATAGGAAACCAATTGAACTTCCATAGTGTTAAAGAACATGTTGTGATTTATCAACTTTTGAATGTCAAAAGAAGTTGATTATTAATTAAAAACTTGTGTTGGTACTATTATATTGGTGTGTTTTAACTTCGTTGAAGCACTGGAACCTGCAGCCTCAGGTTAGGGAAGAGTGTACATTGCAATATATGGTATATTTCTAGCACAAAATATACATAATTTATATGATTTCATAACCAAGATACGTCTGTACAGAATTTAAAAATGGATATATCTAGCAAAACCAGTTTTCTGCCCATAAATTCTGTACACTCAGTCGTTGCCTAAATCTTTTCATTGATATAGCCCCTATTATTTTTGTTGTATTCGTTTTGCTGATTCGATGGCGATTTGTTACATCTGGCTTTTGATTTTGTTGTGGAATGAAGTTTTCTTCACATTTTGCAAGGTCTCCAAATTAACCTTCCGAAATGTCTCTATTGTCTCGGTACAGTTTTGTCAAAAATGTCTGGAAACTAAAAAGGGTGAAACGATGAGATTTTTATTCATTACTCAGATACTTGTCAGTGTGACGAACGAAATTCAAATATCTGGTCTCAACACAGAAGACAATCCAACGAAAACGGAATTTATTCGATCAAACCAAACTATTCGATTCTTCTGCTTAGGGCACAATCCTTAAGAAATCGATGATCATATCACGACAAAAATTTGGTGCTCAATTTATGCCACAATATGTTATAAAACAAATTCTGCCAAAAAAATGCGAAATACCTTGACAACGACATGTGCTCACTGTACAGTAAAGATTTTCCCCGGTACAAAATAACGTGCTAAATATAGATCATCGGTTACTCAACATAACTTGAAAGTACTGTAACATCAACAAGAATATTCTCAACGAAACAGAATCAAAATCTTGTCTGCAGATATTAAGTCGAACAACGAACGTCCCTAGTAAACAATCTAAAATAAAAAATAATCAACCATTTCATTCAGTAAGGAAAGCTCATATTGTCAATGCTCCTTCACCATACAACAGTAAAATAAAATTATGATGATTAGAATTATTTGAATTATTGTATGAACTAGGAATCTCAGAAATAACGCAAATAAGGCCAAATAGAACTAGGTGAGCACAAACCAGTTTACTGTATTTGGAATTCGAAATCAGGCAGTCGTCAAGTACAAATGAATTATTAGTTTATACAAACACCACAAAATTGTAGAAAGTATTAAATCAAGCCAAATTATAAAGGTTTTTCGAAGAGGACGTAGAAATATAAAATACGGTTAAACAAGTCTTGGGTTAACGTCAACATATACGAGAAAAGGAAAAAAAATCGTGAAATAGCAACATCATCAAATGAAACAATTTGGAGAAGTTTTCACAGTATTCATTCTGTTACAAGGGGATTAGGATACAACACTAAGCAACCTTACAAACTGATGAGGTCAGTAGTCATACGAAACTGATACTGGTTTACATAGTTATAATAAGCCTAATTACCTAAACAGAGATTATTATATATCCACTCCGTTTCTTGATACTCCAATGTTCAACTCTTACACTCAGGGCGTTCATTTTATCGCCAGCTTAATAGTCTCATCCTCATTTATCTCTGCAATAAAACTTAATTTGTTTCCTCGTTACACGTATTCTTCTTCCTAACCAGATTTCAGGGGAGATTCTCATGTCACTTAAGTACAACGTTTAGAAAGTCATGTAGCTCCCAAAATAAAGCAGTTTTGAGTGGGGAATAACTGATGAGGTTAGTTTGGATACTCGTCGATTTGCCCACTTGAAATTTAAAACAAAGTGCTTGGATATGATATGGTAAGCTAGTCAGAATTAGCAAAATGAGAACATCAACAACATCAGAAGTGACCTGAAGTACATTTCATTTGCTAGGAAACGGAATGTTTTCTAAAAGGGTATATATATATATGTGAATACTTGTGTATTTTAT